TTTTTTATTTTATCTGATAGACACGGATGAGCCGAGGCTAAATATTTCCCACCTTGTTTTTCATGTTTCCCTCTTAATTCCTTTCAGAGAACCCTAAAATTAAACCAAATACATTTTCAGAAGAAAAAAACCCCTAAAATCAATGTAGTGAGTTTCATCTCTTCATTTTCATCTTCAAGATCATCGATTCTTCTGAGTGGGTTTATTGGTCTCTGATTCTTCTTCTGCTTTTTTTCAACCTCAAACTATCTCTGATTCTTCTTCTGATTTTTTTCAATGTAGTGAGTTTCAGTCTTGGCCTTTACCTGTTGAAGGAAGTTTAGAAAATAGAGCTGCAAGTGCTTCCAAGAGTCATAGTCAAGCAGAGAAAAGACACAGAGATAGAATCAACTTGTTTGTGTTATTTGCCATTTTAAGGTTAGATTTTGTTATTTGGCATTCTAATTCCAACCCTAACTGAGATTTAGGTTTAATGATTATGATGTTTTGCATTCAACTCATCCCCTGCTTTTGCCTGTGTTGCTATTAGGTTTAATGATTCACACTCTAATTTTTATTTAAGATTTTATATGCACTGTTCTGTTAAATGTGGTTGAACGTTAGGGATTCCATTGTTGCTCACTTGGTTTATGTGGTTGAACTCGGTTCAGTTAGTATGGTAAATGACATTCTATTGTGAAGGCGAAAATGTTAGTGTGTAAAAAACTCTTGTTAGGTGCTAGCTAATTCAAAATATCGAATTGAATTGTATAAATGTCTTGAATTCCATTATTGACCCTATGTTGAATTTTGCATTGTTTTGTTGATGAATGATTTATTACAAATAGAATGTATTGTGAATGGTTTAGTTAGTTAGAAACTGTCTAAATGCAATGATATTAGTATGTAAATGTCAATGCCAAAAAGTGAATATGCCTGAATTGGATAGTTAGAAACTATGTCTTAGAACACTTATGATATACTTCTCTCATCACTATTTAAGATTTTATATGCACTGGTTGCAAGAATTGTTCTATTGACAAGCACAAACCAGTTTTTTTTTGTTGAACGTGTATGCTGCTGTGGTAGAGTTAGGACTAATAGGATAGCAATATACCCTACAAAGTCAGGCTGAATGTTGCAGAAAAGGCTTGATTCAGTTTTGCTTGTGATTCTTGCCACCGGCCAGAATGCGCTGGATTTGAAGTCCTCGCCTGAATGCTTGGTTGAACAGAAGCCTAGTTTGGAATTCTGAAACAAATGGGAACCATGCCAGTATGGCCACTGGTGTAAATATAACCACTGCCATTAGGTATTCCTTCAAATTTAATTGGAATGTTTGTTTATAAAACGTCAGTAAATATTTAATATAATAATTTCAATAGACAAATTTAAAACCACATCAAAACAATTATAAAATAATCATTAACAGTTTTAGTAGAAAAAATCTTTTATCTTTTATCTGACAGGATGTTAAGATCTTTTTAGTAGAAAAAATCAAAATTTATTAACAGTTTTCAAAGCATGGCTTACACATTTGAGACCACACAATACATTTTTACAATGCTATATTGAAATCTTACTGCCAAAATATGTTGTTTGCTGTGAGGCATCTTGAATTTTTCGTATATCTTATCTCGTCAACCGCCAATAAGCGGGGAATTTAAGAACAATTGCAGCTTGATACAAGTCTTAGACATCCATGCATGCATTAGTTTTCAAATTCTCTCACCTTAATTTCCTTTCCCTGCTCAAGAGTTTCCTAAAGTTGCAAAAAGAATCTCAGTTATATGATAGAATAAATAAAGTTAACCTGAAGCTTAAGTTTTCAAGCATAGATTATTGGAATTATGAAACAAATGGGAACCATGCCAGTATGGCCAGTGTGCTGCATATGCTCTTGTTCCTCATCCCACCATGACTCCCAACTCTTGTTTGAAGGAACACCAATACCACCTCGATTACTAATCCATTTAGTCCAATCATCTCAGTCCTCAACTATCTTCTGCCACTCAAATCCTGATGGATTGAAAAGGAAAGGAGCAAACAACCAAGAGCAAACCAAAAACCACATTGACCATGACAGAAGAGCATATGCTGCTGAGTCAGGTGTTGCTGATCCATAAATCATATAACATATCAGCAATATTGTGAGCTCAATCCCTTTGACAAAGTGACTCCTAGGGTACATCCTGTAATTGTTTGCAAACTTTTCATGACGAACGACAAATCCACGCCCAGTTGCTGTCAAATATTTTCTACGTTACTTTTAAGATATTAATAGGTTTAATTTAATAAAAGTGTAATATTTTATAATGTCCCTGCATTATCAGCATGTGAAAATTGTCGAGAGTGATTGTATGATGATGCATGGTTTCTTCGACGATGCCTTGAACCAGGTGGAACTTATCCGTCTTGGCATAGAAATTTCAAGGGAGAAAATTCATGTTGAGTATTATTTTATAAATGGAAAGCTTGTTCCCATTAATGGCACTCTAAATCCTTAACCTTCTTATCTTTGTTTTAAATTGTATGATGAAACCATGTTGGTTTGCTTTATGGAAAATATTTGTATTTGTCTTTGTCCCTCATACTATCTTTGTAATCACAGTTTTGACTGTTATGAGATTTCCAACTTTTCATCCTTGTTCGCATGCTTCGATTGTTAGCTACGTTTGGTCGTGATAAGAGATTCAGAGTTAAACTTTGTGGTATATTTAAGTTGTTGGTGATTCTTATGTGTATTGAAGTTATGAAATCTGCATGTTTTGGTTTGGAGTGTGTCGTGAGCGTGTGGTTCACATTATTTTTATTCATGTTATAAGCTTATGACCACCTCTTTGTAAATAACTTCCAAGCTATATGAAGTCTTGGTATGCTGAAATTTGTGCAACCTGCTTGTAGCTTTGTGTGGAATTTGTTAGCATAAAGATAATTAGCGTACGGTCGAGATTCAGAAGTCTTAGCGTTATCCGTATAGTTATGTTACTGTTGTCTGTTATGATTGATCTGCACTTTGTATGCTGCCCTGCTTTTGGATTTCAAGTTCTGTTCCATCATGTTAATGAATGTTACGGCATCGACGCTTAACGGTGATAATTTCAAGTGTTGTTTGGTATTGCGTTCAACTTTTAGCTATTTTCTCTGAGACTTGTTTATCGCAATTGCGTTTTGGCGAAACGTTGCAGCTTTACATTGTTACGATTAATATCGGTGGTATCATGTATGTTGCTTTGAGAGTCAATTTTCTCCAAATATTGTTTGTGATACTTGCTGCAATATAGTGTCAAAATCACAAGGAAGTCATTTGTTCTCTTCCTGCTATTTCTCTTGAAATAAGTTTGTTGGTCAATAACTTTATTTAAATGTTTCAACCTCATTCTAATGGTATTGTTTGTGTTTCATTATAATTGATTTTTGGAGTTTGATATGATGCTACAAGTGATGTGAATGATCATGTTAGCAACCTGTAGCATGAATAATACCGCTACGTTACAATTAATTTTTCTTTCTTTAGAAGTTTTATTGTTTCAGTTTCAGTTTTTGATTTGGCACTGGTGTAAAACCGTATGGATAATGATACTAGAACCCATCTATAGAGTGTTATCCAAACATCAGATATGCCCATTATATCACATATTTTGAGATTAAACAAAGTCTGTGTTGTGTTAGGTTTTAGAGATGTTGTTTCGGTATGGAAATTCTGTTTCTTTCTGCAGTATCTTCATCGGTATATTAGCACCATGAGGCCTATACATGACCGATACGATGTGCTATTTACGGTTGCAATTGTGTGGCTATTTGCACAACTTTTAACTACTTCCACTACATATAACCACAAGTCAGCAAGCATACAGAATAGCTGCCACACTGATTGTGTTGGACTCGTTACTTCCGCTAAATGGTAAGAATAATTCCAGGCTGGTTTCGTCAATTAGTTCTGATCATTTACATAACATGGCTAAGAAAATTTCTGCAGGGTGTATCTTCCTTACCCTTTTCAATGGGGGCCTCCTACATTCAATGTTCTAGAAGCATTTCCTATGATGGCTGCTTCTATAGTTTCTCTTTTTGAGGTATCCACTAATTCCTTAGCACACAAGTAATAAGAATCTCGTGCCACTCGTCATTGCAATTTCTCCTGTTAATCACTGGTTTGAAATTTGTTTTACTTACAGTTTTCTGGTACATCCTATGCTGCTGCAAGAGTAGGAAGTTGGTTTACTAGCATTAACATAAGGTCACGAGGAGTCAGCTGCCAACCTAGCGTGTCCTGCGGTGGAATTTCAAGGCATTCAAACTAGGCTATTATGTCACAGCAACTGGGCCAAGTGAGCTAATCCAAATTCAATAACATTTCAAGTTAGCAGCTAGCAGTTAACAACATATCCCTAACACATCCTCATATTTCAAATTGTTGACCTTTTACTAACAGTAGCATAAATTCCATTTACCAACCTTTCAATTGCAAATCAATTCTCCATCTAACCTCATTCATATAAACAAAGACATCATCTCCATTCTAAATAATGTAGTCTGATTCAAATGATGGTATCTATCTACTATATAGTCTTCAGAATCTCCATTCTTAAGAAAAACCTGTAGCAAGTACACTCTGTAATTTTGGGAAGTTCTCAGTTTCCACTGCATGGAGAATTAATAGATGAATTTTAGTTTGAATTTGATGCTAGGATTTGGTTGTTAGTTCATCCATCTCAACGATCTTAGTTGTAGCAAGTACACTCTATAATTAATGGTCATTTCATTTGTTTAAAGGCTTCAATTTTATAGCAGAGTGACCTTCTGTTTTGTATATTAGCTATTAAATGTATTATGTTGTTCCCTGAATTCCTCACATCTTCTCTTTTCATAGCATTCACTCTGATTTTTTAAAACATCTTTTACAGGAGATACATTGCAATGGTAGAGATGTGTCGAGTTGTTTCTTGCACAGATCAGCTAATTGTTTTATTGCTCCCGCTCTCTGAGCATGTGCTAAATATCCTGGAATTGTTGCAGTCATGAACAAGGTACACAAATACATTTTGACATATATTTATATAATAATGACAGTATGGTGCATATCCTGACAAATGTTTGGTTTGCATCTTATAGCATCGTTGGCGTGTGGGGATCATGACTGAGATGGCTCCCATTGGTTATGTTGGTGTGAGCCCAAAATGCATTCTTGGTTTTAACAAGGTATTGAAATCTTCAAGATGAGGAAGCATGGTATCGTAAGTATCCAGTTTTATTTTCTTGTTATTTTCTCATATTTTCATTCTTATTTACAGAATCATGGAGAGGAAATATCGTTGCGACTTCGAACTGATGACCTCAAAGGTTTCAGGAAATACGAAAGCATCAAGAAAACTCTACTACATGAACTTGTAAGCTATATCATGCACCACAAGTATCATGTGTTTTTTTTCCTTGATCCTAAGCATTTTAAATAACAGAAATAATATAAGGTGCATTTGTCTATTTGTGACTTGAAATTTATTAAACTAACTCGTGTTTCATTTCAGGCTCACATGATATACTCTGAACATGATGCAAACCTTTATGCTCTGGATAAGCAGATGCATGAACTCTCTTGAGTGTTTGGCTATCAGTCTATTATTCATTTTGATTTATTGCCTTGCTGATTTAATTTTTTTTCTTTGCAGTTAAATCAAGAAGCTGCCAGTTTAGATTGGACCAGATCTGCAGGCCACATTTTGAGTGGAGTAAGGAGTTCTGAAATCTATGAAGATGATTTTATGGCTGAGGATAGTAACAATATTCCTCAGAAGCTTGGAGGTAATAGGTCAGACCAGATAATGAGTACTCGTGAATCTTCAGTTACTACTGCTTACTATAGGATGGCTAGTGTTATCTCTAACAAGTTGGGAGAGTCCGAAGTAAATCAAGAGCCGGACCGTGATCATTCCAATGCTAACATCAGAGAAAACCCTGATCATATGGAGTCGTCCTCCGAAGAAATTAAAAATACTGACACACCCATCATTATTGTCGAAGGACTTAATGAGCCCGACCTCGATGATCAAATTAAAAATGGAATGAAACATGAACCTGATCCTGATGATTCTTATCATGGTAAAGCTATTATTTTTTATGTTTGTCCAGAAACTACTGATAGCAGGACTGTATTTGACCAAAAGCCTATTGTTTTATTGGTGTAGTAGAACATTTGCATTCTCAGACAGGTACAGTGAATATGGATGTAACTTATCCTGATGCAAATGATTCAGAAACATCGTTAAAGTCTATTGCTCCAACCATTAGTAAGTATTCTCTAACAATAGGTTGTAATTGTTTTATGTGCTAAATTTCCTATATTAACTCCATGTAAGTTGTAATTGTCTCACAGAATTGAATCTTCACCCCAACTAAAACATCATCTACAAACAAATTCTCGATTCCCTGATATGCTCCATCATTCTGCAGGTGTTTGACAACCCTAAATCTCGTGGCTTGATATTTATTGAATTCGTCGTCAACGGTAACAAACCGTCCTTAGCCGTAAATATGTCTCGACATCACTGAGCTTCATACGTCTCTGGTGAGCACAGGTACTACTGAAGGTTCTGGTTAAGCTGTAAATTCAACTTATAATGTACTGTAATGGAGTAAGATTGAACCATGTTTGCTCGTTATTACCGAGATCTTTTGTTTCCGACACCAATGCACTTAATCTTTATATCCTGAGAGAACTTTATGACACTATTCTGAACCCATATATTAGCTGATCAAATATCATTGGCAACTGATTTAATGCCCTCATTCTCGTCATCGATGACAGCTTCAACTTCGGGACCTCGTAGGGCCTGGACTGAGGATGCTCATTCTTTCAATTTTACAATTTGACTTTAGCCTCGGTTAGGCTAAAGTTAAATATTTTGTTGACTTATGAAGTTTGACTTTAGCCTCGAATAAGCCGAGGCTAAATATTTTATTGACTTATAAAGTTTGAACTTAGCCTCGAATAAACCAAGGCAAAATGTTCCTTTAGCCTTGACCAGGCCCAAGGCTAAATATTATGTTGAATTATGGAGTTTGACTTTAGCCTCGGTCAGGCCTAGGCTAGTTTTTGTTTTTTGACACGGCTTAACCGAGGCTAATGTAGACACGGCTAAACCGAGGCTAATGTAGACACGGCTATACCGAGGCTACTGTAGACACGACTCTTTTTGGCCGAAGCTAAATGTTAGCTTAGATCGTTTTAGCCTATCCCCGACACCGACGCTACGCCGAGGCTAATTGGCTAGTAGCGGCGGTTTTTTGCCTTATAGTGTCGGAAAATGGCTGAGGCTAAATACAACATTTCTAGTAGTGTTATCATAATAATATTAATTGTATCATATTCATAATATCACATGATTGTATCATATTCAATTGTATCAGAACAAACATCCTACAATTTATCAGAACAAATAACCTACAGTTTACACATTACATAACATCACATAATTGTAACTTGGTGTTTTGGTTTTTTGTCTCCTGGTGTCTTGACTCTAAAGACCTATGATTTCAAATGATTATACATGTTAGTAAAAATACCTAGAAACTAAAACATACAATTAATATATTATGAATAAAGAATACATTACGTACTTGTTAATTTTCCCATATGCCTTCTTCATGATCGATTCAAATAGCATGCATGATATCTCCATCAAATTCATCATATGAGGTATGAACTTTGTTGTGTAAGAAGGTGTTGACAGAATATTAAGACTTTTATCACTAAGAGCAATGTATTTTCCTTGGAAAACGACTGACCATTTCCCCGATATATCTGATTGGTCGGTAACATAGAAAACTTGGTTTACTTGAGAAGCCATGATGAATGGTTCAGTCATAAAAGATGTATTGCCAAGGTCGACCCGGGTGAATCCTAAGTCATCAATGTGTACACCATTACTATGATTGGGAACTCACTTGCATTTAAGTAAAGCCACTTTCAAAATAACATAATCAATCTCTCAAATTTCATCAATGACACCATAAAACGCGGTAGTTGCCAATACATGACACTTATCTTTCGAACTAGAGAAATACATCGATTCGGCTTCAAGCATAACCCCACTATTTTGCATTGTACTATGATCATCTTTTGATTTTGTATAAAAGGTATAACGACCAATGTCGTATGCAGTTCAAGTAATGACACAAATTTTTTCCTCGTACAACAACCATTTAAATGTCTCGGATGCACTACGATCATTAGATACACTTTTATTAAACCAATCTATGAACCTTTTTTTATGCTCTATCAACAACAACTTGTCACTCATTCGGGGATATTTTTTCCTCAAAAGTCTTTTGTGAGTATCTATGAAAGGTTGAACTTCATATATATTATTCAATATATAGAAATGTGCTTGAATAACTACATTCTGAGCCGTTAACTTAACATTTAAACCTTGAATACCTCTTCCGTGTGTGTCAGAATGATGAGACTTTGGAATTCCTATAGAATCTGCGTCCGATAAATAGTTTGTACAAAACTCAACAGCTTCTTCTGTAATGTAATTTTCAACAATCAAAGCTTCCGGTCGGTGATGATTCTTCGTATATCCTTTAAAGATCTTCATATATCACTCTATTTGATACATCCACCTTAAATAAACTGAACCACAAATTATGATTTCTCTGACTAGATGAAAAAGTGAACCATAATGTCAAAAAATGAAGGAAAATACATCTTCAATTGACACAAGATTATGGCAGCCTCATCTTCTAATTCATCTAATTTTTTGAAATCAAGAACTTTATTACATATGGAATTAAAGAACAAGCATAATCTCGTTAAAGTTACTCTCACATTTTTTGGTAGGATCCCACGGATAACTATTGGTAGAAGTTGTTGCATCAATACATGACAATCATGAGAATTTAAACCAATTAACTTGAGATCTTTCATTGATACAAATTTCTTGATGTTTGATGAGTAACCTTGAGGGACTTTAATACCTTGCAAACACTAGCAGAAAATTTTCTTTTCCTTTTTAGATAGAATGTGACATGTTGGAGGCAGATAAGTTCTTTTTCCTTTCTCTATTGGAGCCAACTGTTTTCGTATACCCATCTTCTCCATATCAAGATGGGAAGTCTTACTATCTTTAGTCTTTCCTGGAATGTTTGGAAGTGTGTCAATCAAACTATCACACACATTTTTCTCCACGTGCATCACATCAAGACAATGTCTAACATCAAGACTTGACCAATTTGGAAGATTAAAGAAGATGGACCTCTTTTTCCATATATTTTTTGCAACTTCCCCTTTTTCCTTTTGTCTCTTGCCAAATATAATATGTGTTCCTGCCGTTGATAAACTTCATCCCTGGTTAAAGATTTATGAGTCTCATCAAACTCTTGCTCTTCATTAAAAGTCTTCTGCAATCTACGATAAGGATGACCGGGTTTTAGAAATTTTTGATGCTCAAGGTAAACAGTATTTTTTCCAAACTCAAGTTGGTAATAACAAGTATCATATTCACATATAGAAAACACTCTATGTCCTTTGACACTATATCCAGCCAAGCTACCGTAAGCAGGAAAGTCGTTGATTGTGTAAAATAACATTGCATGCATCTTAAACTTTTCCCCAGAATATGCACTATCAACTTCAATGCCTTCATCCCACAAGAGTCGTAAATCATCAATTAATAGACTTAGATAAACATCCATGTCGTTACCAGGTTGTCGTGGTCCAGAAATCATCATACTTAACATTATATACTTGCGCTTCATGCACAACCAAAGAGATAAGTTGTAAATAGTGAAAAAAATAGGCCACGAAGTATGATTAATGCCTAGATTACCAAAGGGGTTCATTCTATCGGTGGCAAGCCCAATCCTAAGGTTTCTTGGCTCTACTCCAAAATCCGAAAATAATGAATCAATTTTCTTCCATTGCAACGAATCAGCTACATGGAGAATGTTTCCATCACGGGTCCTTTCATCTGCATGCCATCTAAGATTCTTTGCATCATTCGAATTAGCAAAAAGTCTCTTTATTCATGAAATTATTGGCAAGTACCATAACACTTTAGCAGGAGGATGCTTCCTACTAACATTGTCATCATCATTGTTGGCCTTCATCTTGTAATGCGACACACCATATTTCGAACATTGATACAAGTATTCATATTCTTTCTGGTACAATATGCAATCATTAGGGCAAGCACGTATTTTGATATACTCCTGACCCATTGGTCACAATATCTTATTGGCCTCACAGCAACGACCCAACAATTTGTTATCTTCTGGTAACATTTTCTTTAGTAATTCAAGTAATTTCGTGCTACTTTTATCCGACCATCCATTTTTTTCCTTCAGATTAAACAACTTTAACTCCGGTGACAATCGTGTAAAATCTATGCATCCCTTATATAAAGGGGTGTCTTTATCACTACATAAAGTATCATAAATATGAGCATTCTTAAAATAAGATTCCCCAATATCACGGATTATATCCTCTAGTTGATCTTCCATATATTCATCCTCATCCACTCTTTGACTTTATGACGTCGACTTTCCTTTTTATCCACCTCACCATGCCACGTCCATATTATATAATTTTGACATATAC